CTCACGGTTCGTGGGTTCAAGCCCCACGTCGGGCTCTGTGGAGCCTGCTTCAGATTCTGTGTCTCCCTCTCTCTCTGACCCTCCCTTGCTCTCTCTCTCTCTCTTTCTCCTCCTCTCTCTCAAAAATAATAAAACATTTTTTAAAATTAAAAAAAAAAAAAAAACAAAACACAGAAGAGGAAAGCAAAGCTCCGAAGGTCCAGAGTCATACAGATGGAAAGTGGTAGAGTCAGGATTTGAACCCAAGCCATCTGGCTCCAGAGTATGACTCCTTCCCTTCCTTCCCTTCCCTCCCCTCCCCTCCCCCTCATCTTCCCTCTGCCCTCCTTTTTCTTTTCTTTTCTTTTTTTTTTTTTTTTAATGTTTTATTTATTTCTAGGAGAGAGAGAGAGAGACAGCGTGAGCAGGGGAGGGTCAGAGAGAGAGGGAGTCACAGAATCTGAAGCAGGCTCCAGGCTCTGAGCTGGCAGTCAGCACAGAGCCCGACACGGGGCTCGAACCCACGAACCGTGAGATCATGACCTAAGCGAAAGTCGGATGCTTAACCGACTAAGCCACCCAGGCTCCCCTCTTTTTTTTTTTTTTTTTTTTTGAGAGAGAGCGCAAGCAGGGGAGAGGGGCAGAGAGAGACAGAGAATCCCAGTCTCCACACCCAGTGTAGAGTCCAACACGGGGTTCCATCCCAATCCTCTGACCACAAGATCATGACCGGAGCTGAAATCAAGAGTCAGATGCCCTCAGACCCCGACTTCTTAAGCAGATGTTCAGTCTTCCAAGCAACAATCTCTTATCGAAAACCTGCTACATTGCAGACTATGTCAGGAGCAGAGGTAAACATATATATACAGCAGACCTCATTGCTCTGGATAGAAGAGCATCCTCTCCCACCCCCCAAATTTCACATCAATCTAGAACTTTGAGAATATGACCTTATGTGGAAACAGGGCCTTTCCAGATGTAATCAAGCTGAGATGAGGTCATGCTGGATTAGGACGGGCCTGAGAACCAGTGGCTGGTGGCCTCGTAAGACAAAGCGGGTGTAGACACACACATGGGGAGAGCGCCACACAATAGTGGAGGCAGGGAAAGAAGGGATGTAACCACAAACCAAGGAGGCCAAGGATCTCCCGCAGCCACCAGAAGTGAGGAGAGACGCATGGAACCGATGCCCCCACCCCCCCTCCCCAGAGCTTCCAGAAGGAACCAGCCCTGTCGCCACCTTGACTCGGGACTTCTAGCCTTCTGAGCTGTGAGGAAGTAAACGTGAGTGGCCTTCAGCCCCCCAGTGGATAGTGATTTGTTGTGGGAGTCCTAAGGCAGCAACACCCTAAGAAAAAGAGACTTTCTCTGGTCACCCGTAGACCCTGTTTGGCAATAGTCATGGTTCCCCACTGGCCATGAGTAGGCAGGGGGAGAAGCCAGTGATGAATCAATCCGCCGCCTCACAGGAAGCTTGCTTTCCTGTCAACAAGGCACAGACAGAAAAGCCGTCCCTGTCGGGCCAGAGGGCGGTCTGCCCGGCCCCTGTCGCAAGCCCCAAATGGGAGAATATTTTCATAAAGGGAGGAAAAAAATAAGAGCGCCCACCGAAGCGTGTTTGCATCTGGTTTCTGCTCAGGATGACGGCGTGCGGGTGGGGACAGCTCATAAGGAGAATGACGAGGCCTCAGAAACCTCGGTTTAACTAAGGGGCCAGATATTTCCCCACAAACCCACTAAAAGCAGAAGCTCTTATGGATTTAGCAATCTGGTTCCCTTTGAAATCTGGTAAATGCTATGGATTAAATCTCTCTCCAGAAAAAAAAAATTCCAACACGCAAAATTTGGGGTGACATTTCAAGGTATCTTGAACTTTTTAAAAAAATTTTTTAATGTTTATTTATTTTTGAGAGAGAGACAGAGAAAGGGAGAAAACACAAGAGGGGGAGGGGCAGAGAGAGAGGGAGACAGAATCCAAAGCAGGCTCCAGGCTCCTAGCTGTCAGCACAAAGCCTAACACGGGGCTCGAACCCACGATCCTTGAGATCATGACTTGAGCCGAAGTCGGATGCTTAACCAACGAAGCCATCCAGGTTCTCCAGTATCTTGCACTTCTAAAGCCCATGCAGTGGTGAACAGTTATTTATAAATTGCCTACTATGCACCAGGCACTATGCTCTGTGCTGGGAATAGCAGAGCAGAAGAACACACAAGGCATTTTTCTTCTTGAAGGCCAGCGCTAGCAGGGGGGGTGGTGTGGATGAATGTCCTGTGGCTGCCACAACAAATTACCAGAAACCAGAGGCTGAAAATGACAGAAATGTGTTCTGTCACGGGTCAAGAGGCTGGAAGTCTGAAACCAAGATGGAGGCTCGGAAAGAGAGCCTGTCCTGTGTCCCCCTCCTGGCTTCTTGTGGTTGCCACCGACCCCTGGCATTCGTGGCTTGCAGACCCAAACCCCTATTCCCTGCCTGTGTCTTCACACCACCTCTTCTGGGTGTCTGTCTGTGTCCTCTCTTCTTCCTGCAAGGACTTAAGTCTTTGGATTTGGGACCCAGCCTCACTGGAGGGGGGTGTCATTAAGACCCATAATAAATTACATTTGCAAAGTCCCTGTTTCCAAATGAGGTCATGTTCTGAGGTTCCAGGTGGACGTGACTGGGGGCGGCACGCTCTTCAACCCAACTCGGGTGGTGAGACCGGTAAGCAATCACGGCGAGAGCAGCAGGGGAGGTGGCGGGGAGCCCAGCATGTGAGAGAGCTTTCCCCAGGACCTCCTGGGGCACCGGGGACCCAGATGGTGAGCAGAAACTGAGCAGAGGAAGTAGGAAGTAAAGCAGGAAGATGGCATCACACAGGTGAGGTCCAGACAGACGGGGGGAACAGGTGCCCGGAGGGGGCCGCAGAGAGCCGGGGGCGGGGGGGTGGTTTGCGGGCTGGGCTTGTAAGCTGCTGCCCAGAGTCTGGCCTGTGTCCCTGGGGCCATAAAATGCCTTTGAAGGACTGGAAACAGAGGAGCGTTTCTAGAAATTTCATTTTGGTTGAGGTGAGGTGGGTGGACTGGAGTGGGTGCGACCAGAGGCAGGGACCCCAAGGGTCCGTGTCCCTGGGGAAGCTCCAGGCTCGAGGATTCAAGTGGCTCAAATTCTGTGCAGACGCCCCACACACTGTCCTAACCAGTTCGCTGGGCTGATTCCCACTGAACTGAACAGAGGGGTTTAATGCAACGCAAGCGGGATGGGAG